GCGCATCTCCAAACGAACAAATGACGTTTCTCGTGGACAAAATCGATATGTGAGGCTTCCCTTAGAAAGGTAGCTCGCCTCCATATGAACATGACTAAGATTTGCGTTCTGCAAGTGCCGATATATATTATTTTTTAAAGCCGTAATTGCCGCCCTGAATGAGCTGTTCTTTACAAATCCTTATTGAGTTCTCTCATTTTACGATGTGAATGTCTCTGTAAAACTGTAGGCAAAGCAACGGAGATCTTATTAAAGTATATTTCTGAAATTTTTCAGAAATTTTACGTCAGTTCTCCTTCCTTATTTATGAATATTTTTGCGAGTATACACGCGTCACGTATTTACATCTACCATGCAAATGTCGGGGCTTAACTCAAATGCTTAAATCGTTAATTGACTTCGAGTTAAGTCCCGGAGCTTAACTCGAAGTACTAAAACAACCTTATGTTCATCGAGTTAAGCCCCAGGCGAAAAGGGCGTGGCAGGGGCTTAACTCGAAAAGGGCTTAATTCGAAAAATGCCTACCCCGTCGTGGCAGGGGGGACATGGCCAAATACCCTTTCTGACGATTTGGAGACTCCAAATTTTTTCAATTTTCCTAGTCAAATACTCACATTGAACTGTAAGTAACAATACTTAACTTCATTGTTGGGCAATACTAAAATATTGAAATATTGGGTAGGAAAGACTCTAAAAATGCCATTTCCAACGGTCTATTTTCAAAAAGTTTTGCTCGGCACCAATCATGGTGGCGTCTCGCAGGCGTTGCAAAATCAGATAAAAACGTTAAGTTGCAAAAATCCAGGTAAATCTAACCTCACCCCCACCCCCCACCCCCCACCCCCAGAGGCAAAGTCCTACTCCTAGCAACGGCCCTGGCTGACAGGAAATATGCAATATTGTTGGATTCTACTCGAGACTACAGCAAAGAAATCATTAAGTTACACAAGGCAATTTTTGCTGCAACTTTTTATTTTTTTAAATTTATTTTTAATTTTCTTTACCAAACCATGTTATCTAAACATTATATAACAACGTTAAAAATTCAAGCACTTTTATTCCCTTATAGCATTCCCTTATTTGTATAGATCATGTATGTGTGATATTTGTAAAATTTCGACTTTTTCCAAATGTTTGGTTGAATACAAAGTAAGTTATTTACCTGTTTTTATTTACCTGTTTTGTTCTTCCCACGTTATGATGTCATACTGTGTATCTATAACTGAACAGACAGTTATCTATTTGTTAGGTCACCACTGGTAGTCACAGTTAGAGAAATTTAAACATGGACCACATTCTACTTTCTTTACATAACTTACTCTTAACAACTTAAAGGATGAAAAATGAACGAAATGAGATGAAAAATATCAGCAGAATGAACCGTGGGCTATGCTCATAATTTCCCAACTACTTTGTAGATAACATCGCTCTATATCAGAAATTGCATTGCAAGTTCAATGAAAAAGTGCTTTGTGTAACATATGACCTTTATGTTCTGGATTAATCGAACGAAAGTGTGCGACGTACACCTTCCCACTGTGGAACAGGTGAAGGACTTTTCCAACTTTTGTTAACTTTTGAAGGAAACTCCAGAATGCAGAGGGTGCCGCAAACACAAATAATATTTATAATGGACTACAGCCTGAGTTAAAGAGAACATTCTAAATCATGTGCATGTTCAATATGACCTATGATGTATTGATGTAATGCTTATCACTTTCATTAAGGCTTATCACTGCACTTAGCCTTAGTTGTGTGTGATTTGTGCACATCGATCCCAATCTAGCTTATCTTTGTTTGGTCTTATGGAAAAACTGTCAGTTTTCTTTAGGGATTTGACATTGGTACAAGCATATGGATGTTTGGAGGGATATGAGCGTTAAATGGCATTAAATCGGGCCCTCCGGACAGAAGTGTTTGCAAATGATAAGCAACACCTGGCAGGGTTCGTAGCGGTCTTTAAAATCCTTGAAAGTCTTTAAATTTGAATGCAGGTCTTTAAGGTCTTTGAAAAGTCTTTGAATTGTGTGAAAAAGCGAAGAAAGTCTTTAAAATTCTTTAGTGAGTATTTGATTATACGATTTCCTCGCTAATAGAATAGATTAATTGAAGCAAAATTTTCGCAAATATGGACAAAAAGGCGCATTTAGGATGTGATTTGACTGGACTAATTACTGTGTAAAAATGGTGCTTACACTCACAATTTTTCGACAGCTGATTGCTCTCAAAGGTCTTTGAAAAGTCTTTGTAAATAGACAGAAAAAATCTTTGAAAGTCTTTGAATTGTTTTGGTCTTGGAGACTACGAACCCTGCCTGGTGATCAAGCAAGTCTCGCATTCTAACGCTAATCTTTGATTCATTCCAAGATCTGAAACTCGTATGTTTACCCAGTTATTATCCATTGCTTGATGTATAACGATCTGTGGGATAAACTCTTGGAATACCAGGAAAGCCATACGTCATTGGTTTCCCCTGTAATGTCATGACACCACTCAGCGATTACCTTCAGACCGCAGCGGTAATTATACACAAGCAAAGTGTTATTGTCGAAGGTTATCTACCAAAACCAGGACAACGTCGTTGCCAGGCTTTTCCCTCTTGAACCAAGGGCGAGGACAAAGAAATGAATGGACGTACAGGGAAAATGCTCCGGATAAGATTGGCAATTTGGATGAGTGGCATGAAATTTGAGAGGACCATGTACAATCTACATTCCGTGTACAACACTACATTGCAGAGTTTGGAAAAGCAATTTCCTGCCCATTGTTATGCCTATCCTTGTTATGTCTGTAGTAAGGTTTGAAAGAGACTTTAATATCAATACGTTAGTTTATATACACGTGGTCCCGTCATTAGTAATAGTTAATATTTGTAACAGTTAATCTTAATTGAATCACATTACATCTCCCTTTTCTTAAAGATATAAAACTTAATGTCAACTTAGCTATGTCTTTCGCTTATCTTAATTGTAACTTTAATGTTTTAATAATTTTGAATGTCAACTACTCTAGTCCAAGATTTTCTCTTGCTTTCAAAGACCATGTTTTAATTCTGTTAGGTCTGCTATTTATATTTAATGATGGTGTTGTTTCCTGTTTGTCTTGTTTCTTATCAATGTCCTTGGGAATGTTTTGCAGCTGTACTCGGTTTCGTCTTACTACCGTTGTAGGAGTATCAACCAGATATGACCTTGGTTTCTTTGATGGTCTAATTACTGTTCCGGTACAATCCATGTCTGTGATGTAAACTGGTGGTAGAGGTTTTAATGGTTGAGCTTTGTGGCGATTGTCAAAGTTCTTTTTCTGCTTCGATCTATACACTTCTTCCTTTTCTATGAAGAGTTTCTGGTTTGGCAGTTGTGGTGGTAAATGTGGTAGCGTTATTGGTATTGTTGACTTTATCTTTCTTCCCATAAGGAGTTCTGCTGGAGAGTATCCGCTTGCTAATGGTGTTGATCTATATGCCAGTAGTGCTTTTGTTGGATCTTGTTCCTTCTTCAGGATGTTTTTCACTGTCTTTACTGCTCGTTCCACTTCGCCGTTCGCTTGAGGATAACGAGGGCTGCTGGTACTGTGTTTGAATCCCCACTCCTTTGCAAACTGGGCGAATTCGTCACTATGATATTGAGGCCCATTGTCGGAACGTACCTCGTCAGGAATCCCGTGCCTGGCGAAAATGGTTTTCAGGGCTTGAATGATCTTCGATGAACTTGTACTTTTAGGTAATGCCACAACTTCGACGTAGCGAGAATAATAATCTACCACCAGTAGGTAAGTAACCTTTTCTAGAATAAAAAGGTCTGTTGCAATCAATTGCCATGGTCTTTGAGGGAGTGGCGTTGGCATCAATGGTTCTGGATGCTGCTGTCTGTATTTGCTGCATGTTGTACAGTTTTCGACCATGACTTTAATTTGGGCACTGAGTCCTGGCCACCAAACGGATATTTTGGCTCGTTCTCTGCATTTGCTGATACCTTGGTGACCTTCGTGTATTTGGTTGAGGGTTTGGCGTTGCAAGCGGGATGGAATGACCAGTCTTGTTCCTTTGAGCAATAACCCGTCGGCGATGGTGAGCTCTCCTTGTACTGACCAGTAAGGTTTTACGGCAGGAGTGACATGATCCTTTTCTGGCCATTGATCCATACAGTATTTCTTCACTTCTTTGCATACCTCGTCTTCATCTTGGGCTTGTTGGATTTCCTTCAATCTCGGATTAGATGCGGGCAAAGCATCAATTACATTTAAAACGTAAGCGTTCATTTCGTTTTCTTCTACGGTTGGTTGGACTGTGCTTTCAGGTATCTTCCTGGACAGAGTGTCGGCTGTGTAGTGTAATTTTCCAGGTACGTGTCGAACATCTTTGATGTGGAATCTCATTAGTCTCATCTTGTAGCGTTGTAGTCTTGGAGGTAACTTGTCGATGGTATGGTTGGTTAATAAAGGTACCAGTGGTTTGTGGTCAGTTTCAATTGTTATTGGTTTTCCAATTATGTAATTGCTTGACCGTTCACATGCCCAAGTTACCGCTAGAGCTTCTTTCTCTATCGGCATACCTAGCCTCGGTTGTTGTCATCGATCTTGAAATGAATGATACAGATTTCCAGGTGTGTGGTTCTTCTTCTTGCAGCACCACCGCTCCAAGGCCGTAAGATGATGCGTCGGCTGCTATTTTGGTTGCTTTGTTGGGGTCGTACAAGGTTAGTACGTATCGGTGCTGATGTCAGGGCTTTCTCGATTTTGTCAAAAGCGTCTTGTTGTGGTGGTCCCCATGTCCACGCAGTGTTCTTAACTAGCAGTTCTCGGATGGGCTTTGTCAGGTCAGCAAGATTGGTGGTAAATTTGCTAAATTGGTTTACCATTCCAAGAAAGGAACGGACTTCATGTAGGTTGGTTGGGTGTGGCATTCGAGAATCGCTTGTATTTTCTCTCGATCGAGTTTGATGCCATCGGCTCCCACGATCTGACCTAGGAATTTCACAATCGAGACGTTGAAAACACACTTTTCGGCATTTAGCGTGACGTTGGCGTTACCGAGTCGTTGGAGAACCGCTTCCAATCTTCGGTCGTGTTCTTCTTGTGTTGCACCGTGAACTAGAACATCATCGATGTTGCATTCGACGCCATCCAAACCTTCGAGAATTTGGCACATACATTTCTGAAACTTTTCAGACCCTGAACTTATTCCGAAAGGAAGAACGTTGAAACAGTACCGTCCCCAGGGTGTTATGAACGTTGTTAGAGGTTTTGATCTTTCCGAGAGCTTGATTTGCCAAAATCCAGAGTTGGCGTCTAACTTTGTAAAATACCGAGCTCCAGCAAGGTTTGCAAATGTCGTGTCGGTTGTTGGTAGGGGATGGTTTTCACGCTGCACGAACTGATTAAGCTTTGTGAGATCTACGCATACTCGAACTTTTCCATTGCTTTTTGGCGTTAAACCATCGGGGCGCACCATTCGGTTGGATCTTCAACTCGAGATATTACTCCGTTGCGTTCCATTCTTTGTAATTCTTAGTGGTATCGGAACTTGTCGTGGAACCGTGATTGCAAAAGGTGTTGCTTCGTGCGCAACTTTAATATCATACTCTTGGTCTTTAATTTGTCCAAGACCAGTGAAAAGATTGGGATACTTTTCTTTGGCACTTTCTTTCATTTCGTTGCTGTTTAGAGCGTCGACACAGTTGAGTAAATTCAGACTGTGGGCTGCTTGTCTTCCTAATAATGATCTTTCGAGTCCTTTAACGACGAATATTTCTTCTGTAGTTGTCTTGTCCTCGTGTCGCAGCTGTGAAGTGAATGTTCCTATACAGTTCATTTTGTAATTGCACGGGCCCATAAGAACTTTGCCAGTCGACTTGAGTGTTGACTGTAGTTTTCGTTGTTGATATACTGTTAAAGGTATCACTGTGACGTCAGCGCGGCTGTCGATTTTGAATAAAATATTTGTTTCGTTTACCTTTATGTCTGCAGTCCACGGTTTATTGCCAGATTTATTGATAGTATCGAGGTGTACGACTTCGCCCAAAAAGTAGACATCTTCCTCAGACGAACTTTCCTCCTCGGTTTCTTGGCGGGAAGTTAGTTCGTTAATTTGTTTCTTGCGAAGTTGTTGGCTTGCTTGGCTTCGACATGCTTTTGCCCAATGTCCTTTCTTTGAACAGTTATTACAGATGGACTCACTTGCTGGGCAGAATTGCCTGGAGTGGGCTGGTCCGAGACACCGCGTACATTTGGGTTTGCCGTCCATTTTGCCGTATTTTCTGTCGTCGAGGGTTGTTTTCTATTCTTAGAAATGTTGTCAATATTATGCTCGCTACTTCCGGTCGATTTTTGTCCATGAATAATGTTTTGTTGTTTCTTGATTTCCTCGCTTTGTCTGGCTTGAGCTATGGCTTTCGCTAAAGTAAGATCTGGATCTAATTGTAATTTCTCAGACAACTTTTTATTTCTCAGTCCGACGACGATGCGATCTCTTATTGGCTGATCCTTTAATACGCCAAATTCGCAATACTTTAATAGCAAGACAATGCAGGTCGGTAATAAAACTTTCGACAGGTTCGTTTTCGTCTTGAATTCGAACGTTGAACTTTCCTCTTTCGAAAATAACGTTTCGTTTGGCGATGAAGTGATTTTCAAACTTGTCTCGAACTGTTTCGTAGCTTTTCATTTCTTGTTCGCTGAGACCAAACGATGTTATTATGTCATCTGCTTCGTCGCCCATAGTATATATAAGCGCGTTGACTTGTTTGGCTTCCTCTTTCTTGTCGAGTTCCGTCGCAATTCTGAATCGCTCAAAGCGACGAATCCATCGGGTCCACTCCGAGGATTTAAAGCTAAATTTCGACGGAGGTGTCACCACAGGGGGCCCACTATGAGTTATGACTGAAATAATATTGTATTTATTTTTAAAAACCTACTTGAATCCCTTGATAATCGATTATTTCTTCTCTCGAAATTCTGTAAACATTTTAAACTGCTTGGAGTCATTATACTATCACTCTACATGACGTTTCATTAAGTATAGATGATCTTCGTCTTTTCGCGCCCGCGTTCTTATTTGTCAGCGATCGTCTATACTTCATGTAGAGTGATAGTATAATGATTCAAGCAGTTTAAAATGTTTACAGAATTTCGAGAGAAGAAATAATCGTTATAGTCGGCCAGCCAAGGTGACAAAAAGTGCCTCTAAAGAGTGTTTGATGGCAACTTTATGTTAGAAGCTGGTAACAGGCATTTTCTTATAGTTCAAGCCTTGGTGAATAAGACTGTGTGTGTTACCACTTCTGATTTTTGCTTTATAGCCAAAAAATTGAGAATTTTAAAATTTTGCCTATTAAATTACTATGATGGCAAAAAATGTAAAATTTCATGTTCTCTTATACAAAAAATAAACTATATCACTAGAAAGATCGCAAAAAACTATATATAAGACGATTAAGCGACTAGTGCGATTTTCAAGCCGATTTTGAATTAAAGATGGTTAAAGTTGGCAAAATGGGTACTAATTACTAAATAGCAGTTAATTTGGTCATTTCTGCATTTTTTAACATTAAAAACTCGAAATAGGGTTGGAAAAAGGTAGACTCACTTAATTGTCTTATATATAGTTTTTTACGCTCTTTCTAGTGGTATAGTTTATTTTTCGTATAAGAGAACATGAAATTTTACTTTTTTTCCGATCATAGTAATTTAATAGGCAAAAATTTAAAATTCTCAATTTTTTTGCTATAAAGCAAAAATCAGAAGTGGTAACACATGTAGTCTTGTTCACCAAGGCTTGAACTATAAGAAAATGCCTGTTACCAGCTTCTAACATAAAGTTCCCATCCAGTTGTACAAATTGATGACTTGGCCGGCCGTCTATTATCAAGGGATTCAAGTAGGTTTTTAAGAATAAATACAATATTATTTCAATCATAACTCATAGTGGGGCCCCCTGTGGTGTCACTTGATATGTTGTGAAACTTCTCGCGGTATTTACCTCGTTTGGTTCTGCCACATTTAACTTATGCTGAAATAGGTTTCTTGTACTCTATTTCACACGTACGTATACTATGTTTTTGTTTTGTTGTTTTTATATCGTTTGTGCTTATTAGTTTATAATAAGTTTATTTAATTTCTTTTGGTCACTCGAGTATTCCACCGCTGC